GAAGGCGGCTGTCTGCAAGCCAGGAAGAGTTCTCAGGAGATATGGAACCCTGTTAGACCGTGATCTGGGACCTTTATCCCCAAGAACTGTGAGAAAATAACTTTCTTTTGTTAAAGGCTTCTTCCTACTCCTGTCTCTCTAGTTAGTGACATGTTGTTACTGTACCCTGTGCTTATTAAGAAAAAACTTGAACAGATCAGCACTGACAGAGGAGTCTGAATTTCTGACAGGTCAAGAAACAGCTTGAACTCCTGAGATGAAATTCATGTAAACAATGACAGTTGCAGGTCTACAATTGTGATTAATAGCTTAAACAACAGAGTGATACAGAAGTTGTGACTAAAATGCAGCAACCACACTGTATCCTGTTCCAAAGGTTTAAGGAAGTGTTAGGCTTGTGTGAGTTTAGTATTAAATATCAAGTATAGGCCCTCCCTGGTGGCGCAGCAGGTTAAAGCACAGCACTGAGAAGCTAAAGCCACTTCTGCATGAGTTCGATTCCCGCCTGCCCCGGAGGTGACCACATGGCGTGGCAGACCTCTCCTGACCCGTCTGCTGCTCTCCTCAGCAGTGCACTTCATTGATCTGCCTGTTCTGCTCCCCACTCTGTCTCTGGTGAAGACTCTCACTGCCCCTGAGCCTCTGGTCTGTACCCCAGTTCTGTATGTACAAATAAATAAATCTTAAATATATATATATATAAAATAAATATCAAGTATAACCAGAGTATCTGAGTTTCTACTAACTTTAAAAGGCACTGTTTACAGAATCTGTGGCAAAGGGGGGGGTGAGAGGGTGGTTGGAGGGTGTTGGGGTGTGGGGAGTGTGGTGGGGCAGGGAGAGGAAACGACACTTTCTGGATACCCACACTGCTCAGGTGTACCTTACACCTCAGAAACTGCTGTGTTTGTCACTCATTAATGAAGAGAAAAATACATTTATTTGAGATAAAAATTCTCACAGTGGAGTATGTTCTATGCTTTTGTGACTTCGTGAAGTACTTCCTCTTGGAGGAACTAAAGACACAGATAGTGGTCATGCCAATATTATGCTTTATACCTATACCAAATACAAAAGAAAAGCAGAAAATGTCCCAAAGAGATGAATTCCTTCTGGAAAGATGTACCTCTTGAAGAGAAATAATGAACACAAAAATATAATAGGAAAAATGGAATAAAATAAAAAATATGAATCCTATGATTGGCTATTTTACACTAGAATAATAATCCTGAAAGAAAAGAATCAAATGAGTACTTAGGTGAAATATGGCGGCTCTTTCCCAGCTGAAATATGGTGAACAGGAAATTTATATTACAGTCCACAAAAGATGTGGAAGAAAAAAATCAGTGTGTTATAACTCTGTAAGCTGAGTGGCAGAAAAATTCACTGGATGGATAGTGAATGTAGTTTTGCTTGCTATATATATTTGGATAGATGAAATATTTGACTCTGTACAGTCTTGTCAATGGTACTTTCAACTGAGGCAGGGCTCCTGCCAGAGCACATCATGAAGAACTTTGGTATGGCTTGGCAAGGGTAAGACTATGTGGCCTATGAACTGTACAGCCACACAGACTTTAATCATTTGAACCAATGCTCAAAATTAGGAAGGCCCATCTCATTTGGACATTCAGAAGACCCCACAACACTGGCTGCATTCTCACAAGGCCAACAGTGGTATTCAACTGTCCCTTTATAGGGGAAGCGCTCTTTTTCTATAATACCTGTTCTGTATTTAATTGTCCACGTTGCCCTAATTCCCTATAAAACTATTTTTGGAAACAGGGCCATTTAAGGAAGTAACATAGGATAAACAAGGTCAAAAGAGTGGGGCTTTAATCCACTTTCTCTTTTCACCCTTTGATACAGAAGGACAATCCAAGGGTACCAAGAAGGAAGGCTTCTGAAAGCCAAGGAGAAAGGGCTTCCAAGAAGTCAGTCTTGGATTTCTAGCCTCCAGGACTCTGAGAAATAAATGCCTGTCATTTAAACCACTTGTGGCATTTTGTTGTGGTAGTCCGAGCTGTTTAATACACAGTTTATACTCCAAATATGAGAGTTATCTGAGAATTCTTCCCCATGGAAGAATTCTCCACATTCAGTCATCTGACACTCCTCTGAGCTTATTCCCTTCCGGTTCCTCCTGCCCTACTCCAGTTCTGACTCCATGATCCCTTCTGGATCTACGTCTATTTTTAACTGGACTTTGATTTTACCTCTGCTCTGTCCTTGAACCCCCTTAAAATCCAGCCACTTCTGGCCTGTAAGAATGCTCCATCTAAAAGTTAGAATGGGGTCATTCATGTCACTCTTGCTGTCAAGCTCCCATTGTCGCATGTGACCCCCAGACTCCTGTGCCTTTAGCATTTTTGTGTGGATACTAAGTTCTGTGTAGGAAACTAAGCTCAGATGATGGATGGATGGATCTATGGAGGAGCCAGTGCACATGAAGTCACCATGAAACCATGTACTGTGACAAAGTGGTCTATGGAAGTGAGAATTAAGATGGATAAGAAGGGGGTCAAATATCTATTTTGTATATATATGTATAAATATTTGTCTTAAGTGTCTTCTGCTTCACATCTTTACATTTTTTTCACATCTTTACTTTTTTTTTTTTTAAGATTGATTTATTTATGTATACAGAACTGGTATACAGGCCAAGGTACAGGGGCAGTGAGAAGATTCACCAGAGACAAAGTGGGGAGCAGAACAGGCCAACTGACAAAGTACACTGCTGAGGGGAGCAGCCGGCTGGCCAAGAGAGGTCTGCACCCATGCGGATCACTTTCAGGGTGGAGAGAGAATTCATGCTGAAGTGGCTTTAACTTCTTTAACCTGCTGAGCCACCAGGGAGGGCCCCACATGTTCTTACTTTTAAAACACTTTTGTTCAACTGTATAATCACTCTAAAACATATTGTCTGTATACAAGTGTAAAATCATCATGTTATACATCTGAAAATACAATAAATGTCAAACATACTTCAATAAGACATATTCGAAAAGACATACACCTCTAGGTCTTATTTCTTTTATTGTCTTATTTCTTGAGACAAAAATCCTCTCCCTTTTGTGTTCTTATAATCTGAAGCATTTATAAAAATTCACTAATTTCTAATTAATTTCTTTCCCAAAAGCTATGTGGGTGAAGTAATGTTGAGCACTTTCATATTCAAAAATCCATTTTAATGGTGGGAGTGCTACGGTGACCACACCTGAGAGGAGGACACTATACTGCCAAAATATAAACAAGGATGTAAAGCAATGGAATATAATTTTTTAAAAATTAAAAAAAAATAAAGGATGCTAAGGAGATATGACAACCAAATTCAATTTTGAAACCAGAGATTTTTCTGGTAAGGAGAATTATTGGGACAACTAGGAATGTCTGAAGAATATTTGTAGGTTAATTAACATTAAAGGTCTGATTTAAAGGATTGGACTGTTATGTAAGAAAATGTCATTTTTGAAAAGGATATACATGCAAATACTTAGGGTACATGTGTACTCTAAAGTGACTCAGAAAAAAATTACGTCTATCAAGGTAAATATGGAAATGGATAAAATATTCAAATAAATCATTTTATCTTGACATAAAAATACTGGCTTAACAAGCTATGGAATTTTAGGATTTCAGTTTTATATTTTCTGACCTCTGGATACATGGCTCTGTCACATTCGGCAGGGGACGCTTCTAGATAACATGAAAACTCTGCTTCTGATTCTGACTGCTCCCATTTTCAGGTAACCAGATTTTTGGTATATTTTCTGTTCTTTGTTCCTTGGGGGAAAAAAACCCCTTTGTCTTAGAATTTAGATGTTTCACCAGGACACAGCAGCTAGGTTTATGTTGTTTTAATGATTCATTCTTGTAGTGGGTGAATGTTTTCCAATGGAAGATTGAGGTGTTTTTCAGATCTTGAGTAAAAGTCACACTCACTTATAAGCAGGAACCATATTCAAGACATGGAATAGGTTCTTTATGAACAGCAAAGCACTTGTGCAATTGAACAACTGCAAACAAAATTTGCATTAAATTCATAATTTTATGCTCTATAATAGGTACATATTTGCTTCAAAATTTAAAAGGCAATAAGTACTATCAGGAATTCATTGCTCCCCTTTTGGTTTAAAGATGAGCACACTGACAATGTTTTCCCTTTGTCAACCATACAACCACCAGCTTGGTTACTACAAGAAAGCTTAGAGCAAATACCAGCAAACCATGTGCCTTACTGCTTCAAAATGCTGTGATTCTGTGCCCATATTCTTGCCTACACACCATTCTGGGGGCCATGCTAATTGTGTCCCTGGATCGGGAAGCGGAGCAAGCATGGGGCTGGGAGTCAGGGTGGAACTCACAAAGAGACAGGAACGCCCAGTCTCCAGCTCTTGAAGTTATTTCTCAAAAGTCAACAAGCCACACCCACCGACAACTCTATTATTCTGATTGGAATAAAAGCTTTGCGGTAGAGCTAAAAGGCCTTATAAATCTCCTTTCATTTGTGTTCCTAAAACAAAGTGCGGCCTGACTACTACTGTTTCAGGAAATGAGATGCTGGCGTTTGCCATCTCTGGGGATGACATACAGTGGAAATAAATCAATTGAGGGGGGTAAAATTCCCAGAGAGCCTCATTAATTAGTAATAAGTCAGCAAGTGGCCGAAATCACAAGGTGTGGAAAAGAGCAACATCACCGGGTAGTGTGTTTTCGGTCAAATCGGGAGGTTAATGCTGTGACAGTAAAGATCATTGCACCCCGGTTCAAGAATGACCCAGCTCCCCTTACATCTTCGGCGACCATCGGCCCCTCCCTGCACCCCGCTCCCAGGTCAGGGTTCGAGGCGCTCCCACCCCCACCTCAGCGACCGTCGGGTCCCCTCCCTGTACCCCGCCCCCATCCTGGCGTCCGGCGGGGTCCAGAGCTGGAGGCCGCCGGGCACTCCAGCTACCGGCCGCGCGCTCCCTGCGGGGGACGCCGCGCCCGACGGCACCTACCGAGCAGCAGGAGCCGGTGTGTCTGCTGCAGGTCCCGCTTCTGCTCGCGCAGCAGGCGGTCGATGCTCCTGCTGACCTTCCTGGCCTGGCGCTCGGCCTCGCGCTCCTCTGCGCGCTGCTGCTCGGGCCGCCCGCTTCGCTCCTTCTTGGCTTGGGCTCGGGGCCGCGCGCCCGCCCGAGGGAGCTGGGGACCAGCGGCGGCCGGGATGAGGTCCGCGGTCAGGCCGGGCTGCGGATCCTGAGCCAGCGGCTCCGAGGCCCCGCGGGGGGCGTCCTCCCGATCCCCGAAGAGAAGCGGACGGAGACTGTAGCACAGACCCATTGGGTGTGGGGGGCGCGGCTGGCGCGGCTACGACTTGGGTCCTCGAGGCGGCTCAGGCCGCGGACCCCGCGGAGGGACCGGCGCGTGCTGCCCTCGGTCTCCGCGCGGCAAGGCGGCCAGCAGGCGTCAGGGCGGACGGCCGGTGGGGGTCAATCAGGGGCCACAGACCCTTACGGCCCGGGAGCGCCATTTGACATTTTCCGCGGGATGCAGGGGGCGCGGCCGCCGGGCTGGAGATCCGCTGAGAGCTCCCGGAGCGACCGCACCGACGGGCCCTCGCGGCCCGGCCCCCTTACCGTAAATACGGGTCCTCTGCCGGCCCGTTACCGTAAGTGCCGCGGCCGGCCGGCTCTTGCTACCGTAAATACCCCCGACAGGGCTGGTGACGGTTACCGTAAGTACCTCTGCGGTCCAGCCTAATTACCGTAATCTCCTCTCTGGTTAGCCTCAGATCTACAGGAGCCACCTCGCAGGAGGATCTTTTATACCGTAAATACAACTGACCAAGCCCAGAGCGCAGCTGCTGACAGTGCCGCAGTGGCCATGGTGCTTCCGTCATCATCCAGAGCTGCCATTGCAGCACTTGTGTAACTGTCTTTTTGATCTTGGACAGTGGTATCAAAGAAATGAATGCCGACGGAAGGGTTAGAGATGCTAGTTTTAAGAACTTCAGTTACAGAATGTATTACCTGCAGAGATCTGCATCCCGAAGCTCATTTTTTCAGCTCATTTTCTCATTTTTTGACACAATGTTCACACGTCTACACAATTTTGGGCCCTACTTTGATATTATACGTTGATTCAACAATATCTCCAAATCAATAATGTTATGACACGCTGATGTGGACAATATCTCCAAATTAGGAGGTCCATGACATTTTCAATCATTACCGCACTTATTGAAAAATTGAAAATGAGAACAGTTATATACTATGTATATGTGCTAAGAACGAGAATCTGAAGTTACACCCGGTATTCTACTTTTTAAACCCACCATATAACGAAGAGATGATTAGAGGAGAGGTGCGTTACAAGGTATGCATACAAGTCCACCAAAGATTTTATCTGTTATTCCACATAATGTTCATCATCTGATAGAGCTTTTGCAACAGGTGAAAATTTCAATAGCATTTAAGAATTCTGCTATATGTTCCTTAATTTTGAGCAGATTGAAATGGAATGTCATAACAGATAGTTAAACATATATCTAATATAATTCTCTAGTACTTGATTGGACTTCAATACAAAGTAAAATGCAAAACTGTGAACACATAACAGTGGGTACTTGTTATAAACATGGCATTTGATTAAATTTTAAAAATAAATTGGAGATTTTATGAATCACAGTTTACTTGTTAATAAAACCATGTGTATAACATTTGTTTTTGACCTAACATGATCCCCAAAGTATGCTGTACTTTTAGATCTTCAAGTAATAAGAGAAAGAAAAAATGTAAAACAAATCTAACTTGGGAAAATAGAAGAAGTTATTAAATACCTGTCATTTTCTGATGATTCATTCACTGGCCCTTCCTCCATTTATCCATTTGTTTACTAATTTTTTTTTCAAGCACCCACAAAGGGCAGTCTTTCTGGTTGGTATTATGAGCATGTGAACAAATTGAACAACTAAAAAGAAATGGACAAATTTTTAGATTTAAACAACCTTTCCAGACTGAATCAGGATGAACTAGATAGCTTAAATAGTTCAATCACAATCGCAGAAGTTGAAAAATGTAGTATTTTTTTTTCCTTAAAAAGCAGAAATCCAGGACCAGATGGCCTCTCAACTGAGTTCCACCAAACCTTAAAAGAGAACTTAATAGTTACCTACTTAAACATTAAAAAAAAAAAAGAGGTTAGAAAATCCCCCAACACATTCTATGAGGCCAACATTATCCTATTTCAAAAACAAAGAGAGTGCAAAAAAAAAACCAAAAAAAAAAAAAAAAAAAAGAAAATTATAGATCAATATCCCTGGTGAACACAGATACAAAAATCTTCAGAAAAATCATACCAAACCAAAGTATTTCATCATATCAGTAAGAAACTCAAGATAAAAACTACATGATTGGGGCCCTCCCTGGTGGCGCAGCGGGTTAAAGCACTGCACTGAGAAACTAAAGCCACTTCCGCATGAGTTCGATCCCCGCCTGCCCGGGAGGTGACCACATGGCGTGGCAGACCTCTGCTGACCCGCCCGCTGCTCCCCTCAGCAGTGTACTTCGTCGATCTGCCTGTTCTGCTCCCTGCTCTGTCTCTGGTGAATCCTCTCACCCTCCGCATCTCTGGCCTGTACCCCAGCTCTGTACAAATAAATAAAAAAATCTTTAAAAAAAAAAAAAAAAAAAAAAAACTACATGATTGGGGCCTGCCCTCCTTGGTGGTGCACTGGGTTAAAGCACAGTACTAAGAAGCTAGGGATTCCCACCCTGAGGTGACCCACATGGCACAGCAGACCTCTCCTGACCCACCCTCTGCTTCCCTTAGCAGTGTACTTCCTCAGTCTGCCTTTCCTGCTCCCCATTCTGTCTCTGGTGAAGCCTCTCACCACCCCTGCACCTCTGGCCTGTACCCCAGTTCTGTATACATAAATAAACAAATCTTTAAAAAACAAACAAACAAACAAAACTCACATGATCATTTTGAAAGATGCCAAACTATGTGTTGAATAAGGTTCAACAATCATTTATGATAAAACCACTCAATAAAATCATATAAGTGGAACTTATAAAGCATATTCAATGGTGAAAAGCTGAAATTATTTCCACTAAGATCAGGAACAAAACAAAGATGTCCACTATTGTTCAACATAATTTTGGAAGTCCTAGTCAGGACTAGATAAGAAAAATGTGCAAAAGCGATCAAATTGAAGAAGTGAAATTATTGCTATTTGCTAATATCATGAGAAAATAGAGGACCCAAAAGATACTGCCAAAAATCTACTAGAAATAATAAACAAGTACAGTAAAATAGCAGAATATAAATAAATACACAAAAATCAGTTGCATTCCTATGTAAACAATGTATCAGATGAAAGGTAATGAAATTCTTGGGAATAAATTTAACAAAAGTGAAGGACCTATATTTTGAAAACAGTAAGACTGTGTTAATGGAGAGAAAAGAAAGACACAAAGAAATATTGTATGCTCACAGATTGGAATAAACATCATTAAACTAGTCATACTAACAGAATTATAAAGCAATTTACAGGTTCAATGCAAAATTCCAATGACTTCTTTCAAGAAAATAGAACAAACAAATAAAAAATTTATAATTAACCTTAAAAAGACTTAAATAGCTAAAACAATCCTGAGGAAAAGAAAAATGTCAGTATTATATTTCCCAACTTTAAACTACATTATACAGTGCCAATAATAAAAACATTATGGTAGTGTAACAAAAACAGAAACTCAGACCGATGGAATAGAATGGAAAGTCCAGAGGTAAACCCATATAGACATCGACAGTTTATCTTTGACAAAGGAAATGAGGCCATATTAAAGCTTCTTTAATAAATAGTGTTGGGAAACATGAGTAGTTATATGCCCCGCCCCCCTCCTCCCAAAGCAACTAGGTCCATATACAAACATGATTTCAAAATGGATTAAAAGTCTGGATATGAGTCAAAACTATAAAGTACTTGAACAAAAACCAAAGTGGGAGACTACCGGACATTTATATAACTTATAAGGGAAATGCAAATCAAAACCACAATGAGATAGCACCTTACCATGTGTGAGAATAGCCCATATCAAAAAGAATGGAATCAACAAACATTGGTGAGGATGAGACAGAAAAAAAACTCTTCATCTGGTGTTGGTGGGAATGCAAGTTAGTGCACCCTCTGTGGGAAATGCCATAGAGATTTCTTATAAAAACAAAAATGGGGTCCGCCCTGGTGGCGCAGCGGGTTAAAGCGCAGCACTAAGAAGCTAAAGCCATGTCTGCATGAGTTCGATTCATGCCGGCCAGAGGTGACCACATGGCGTGGAAGGCCTCTCCTGACCCGCCCTCCGCTTCCCTCAGCAGTGTGCTTTCTCAGGTCTGCCTTTCCTGCTCCTCATTCTGTCTTTGGTGAATCCTCTCACTGCTCCTACATCTCTGGCCTGTACCCCAGTTCTGTATGCATAAATAAAGATCTACGAAGTACACTGCTGAGGGGAGCAGCGAGTGGGTCAGGAGAGGTCTGCCACACCATGTGGATCTCCTCCGGGGCAGGCGGGGATCGAACTCATGCGGAAGTATATATAACCAAACCACAGAGGCAAAATACAACAGCAATAAATCTTGAACTTAGTGAAATTGATGATTACCAGATGACACAGGGGAGGGTAGAGGGGAAGGAGATGGAGACATGTACACATATGGAGGGGCAAAAACCCCCAAAATTAAAATCAATAAAAAAGAATGAGAAATTTGGGTACCAGGTGATCTGCACTATGGAATGCCAAGGACTATGTTCTGTATGGTAACAGGTCAGAGAAAAAAAGATAAACATCTGGGTAAATATAAACACTATATATGTTTTCTTTTAAAAAATTTTAAAAGTATATGCTGATTTAAGGAAAACTATTAATAGTATACGTGGGTTTACTATGCATGCAGATATTTGCAATATTTGTAAAAATATTTGCAATATTACAATTACAAATATTTGTAAAAATAGGAGTGATGGAGCTATATTCTTACAGCGTCCCAGTATTTTACGTAGAGTAGTATAACAGCTATTACTAGATTTGTAATGTTAGCAATAGAATAGTGATAGATATGTTTTGTATCTACATTGTCTTATAAAGTAATCACTAGTTACATGTACTTACTGAGTACTTGAAATGTGGATATTATGATTTAAGAGATCAACTTTAATTTCATTTAATTTTAATTAACTTTAAATTTAAACAGGCATGTATGGCTCATGGCTACCATTTTACACAATGCAGCCCTAGAATAGTGCCTAAAAGTAATGAAAGTGGGATACCTTAAAGGCTAATGGGGGATAAAATGGAAACGTTTCAAATAAGCCCCAATTCTAGTAGCAGAAATGTTGACTTAAATATAATCACTTTAATAATTGCATGAAGATGGACTAAGCAAATTAAAAGGTAGTGCACGTCGGAATGGATAAGAGGAAAAGCTCAGCTTTATATTGCTTATAAGGAATATGCTTTACATATAGGCACACTTAGGTTGACAGTAAAAGGAAGAAAAATGTGTATGAAGAGGTATGAGATTCCTAGTGCTGCAGTGACCCTTATAAGTTAGGAAGCTTAAAACAGCAGAAACTGATTCT